CTGGTAAGGCTATTGCTGTGGAACTGGCCCCTGTCTGGCCTGGAAGGGCTACCTCTGCTGAAAACCACCTGCTGGTGCTGGGAAACCAAGTGGTTTAGTGGTGTTGCTACTCCAAGCGAAGTTGGGATGCTGGCACCACCCGTCATTGTATGTATTGGTGTATGGAGCAAGGCTCCGAGCATTGGTGATGAAGTCCAACTGCTCTTGGGGAGTAGAAGACTCCCGCATAGCCTGGCAGTCTTCCACCAGATGGTTCGAGTTCTCACACCACTGACATTGAGCTACTGGAGGTATAGCCAAACCTCTGCCCGGAATAAGACTGTTGGGCTGCTTCAATGTCTGCACTAACTCAGCCACCTCCCGCTCTAGCCCAGACCTGGCCTCCATGGCGTGCACACCTCGATCTCGAGAATTCCTACCTCTGGTGCTCTACCCCCAGGAATGATCTCTGGCAGCCAAGGCTCTGATCATTTTGTTCAGTTCGGGTGGAGTCTTAGTGAGAATATCCCCTCCTGGGCATAGAGACTCAATCACCCTCCGGCTTTCCGGAGACAGAGCACTGTAGAAGTTCCCAACGGTGAATGCATCACTGAAGCCATGATGGGGACACTGCCAGAAAAATCCCGAGTACCGATCCCATGAATCATGAAGTGACTCATCTGGGCTCTTGGCGGAAGTGAGTGATCTCCCGCTGGATCTCTGTGGTCTTCGATGCCAGATAGTACCTGTGCACAAACTTGTTGGCCAGATCGTCCCAAGAAGTAATGGACAAGGGGGGCTGGGTCTCCAACCACCTCTTAGCACGCCCCGCCAGAGAATGGGGGAAGAGGTGAAGGCGGATCGCATCATCAGGGACACCGTTCATCTTGAACCCATTCGTCAGCTGCAGGAAACGGGAAAGATGCACCCTTGCCTCCTCATCCTTCAAGCCATGAAACTGGATAGAGGATGTAATGAGTTGAATCTAGCATGGCTTGATCTTGAAGTTGTTCGCTGGGATGGGTGGATAGAGGATGACAGGGCGGATATCAACGACCCGTGGAGTGTAGTAGTACTCCAAGGTGGGACCCGATGAAGGTGGTTGATGATGAAACCCATCTGCCTGGGGTATGGGATTGTTCCCCAAGATCTGATTCACCGGGGGAACCTGGAGAGGTATCCCCTGGGGCTGATTATGTTCGCCTTCCATCTCGTACTCGTCCCCGGAATCGTTGTTCAAGTGGCCGTCTATGCTCTCCGCCGTAGCCAGTCTAGCTCGCTGTTGTCTCCTAAGTTGGCGAAAGGTGCGTTCAGGATCCGGATCCAATGGCAGTAAACCTCCTGACTGGCTACGGGTCATGCACTACCTGCACACAGTCAAGCAGCAAACCCATGAAGGCACAAGTGTGACAAAGTAAACAATGCTAAAAAGAAAAGCTAAATTAACAGAAATCACGTTTCTTTAACAACCTAGCCATCCCCCGCAACGACGCCAAAAACTTGACCCGCTCCTACCGTCACTCTGGAAAATGGCCAAGTGTAACCACCTCCTAAAGCGTAGTATAACAGGTTTGGGTTTTAATGTCAACCAGGGTCCTAAGTGTGATGACTACTCCGTGAGTTCTTATTATTTAGCGGTGAAACTTTAGTGAAGGTCCAAACAAGCAAAGCAGGTAAAAAGGTTGTTTTCAAGTCGAGAGAGGTCACCCGGATATGGTTCTCCCTAGACTGCAGTTAAGCCGGATTGTAATTTACCAAGTTCAATTCCAATGATAGTTATACTGCGGGAGGTTCTTAAACAGTTTGCAGTCTCGACTAAAGGTCTCCAGAGCCTCTCAATCTGAGTCCCCAGCGGGCGACTAACCTCCACCGGAGTAAACAGATTGAGGCCCTAACGAACCAAACCTCCACTACCGAAGTAAATCTGGTACAGATTAGTGAATTGACTCCTCGACTAAAGTCGTCAATTAACTACCTTCAATCAAGGATGCTCTATCAACCTAGGTAGATATTCTCATTCTACGTCAAAGCAGAAATAACAGGAATTTGATAAGGATTCATGCCATTCAACAATTCAAACCTCAATTGAATATAATCAAATCATAGAATCTGTACTTGAGTTCATACAATCAGACCTAACATACAAATCTAGGGTTCTTCATACCCAGGTGAATAAGAAAGTTACTCCATAGAGAGAGATGGAAAATCTAGCACAAATGTGGAAACCATACTGTGAAGGATGTGAATATGCTTCTGGCACTCAATTAGCTCTTCTCCAAGCTCAAGCCGGGCTCCAATGGTGATGGAGATCGATCAAAGACACTTGAAGAATCAGGTTTGTCACTTTCTCTATCTATGTAGTGCTTTTTCTCTCTAAAACTCGGAACCCTTCACTTTTGCCCTTCTTTTCCCTTAAGTAGCTGTCTGCCGCAATGCCGGGTCTGAATACCCGGTCGGGTATTTTGGGTGACGACCGGGTATCTTGAAAACGCACAGTCAGGGAACAGGGGAAAATCCCCAGTCAAGGCCAAGAATCCCTGACCGGGGATTTAAGCCTCACGACCGGGCCCCCTTCTGCTTCTCAAACGCCCAAAACAGGTTTTCCCCGGTCTGCTCCGATTAATACCCGGTCGGGTATTTCTGCCCATGGCGGGGTATTTTGCTCCTCCAGCACACTTCGACCCAAACGTGCTCCTTTCGAACCGAAACTCGTTTCTTCGCCTCGATGTCAACGCCAAGCCCTGAAATATGACATAAACGCACAACCTAGCGTGAAATCGGCTTAAAACACGAGAATCGACATCTCGAACGGCTCAAGAATAGGGGTAAACACATGTGCAATCAATGGTCTATCAGCATGTTAGGATTAATGTTTTAAGGAAAATAACAATTATTTTTCTTGATTATTGGTTCAATTTTTTGTGTGGTTGAATACACAAATTATTCATTTTTCCTTGAGTGTGGTCTATCTGGACCAGACCAGACCGCACAGGCGTGGTCTGTACCGGACTGTATAGTTTGTGGTCAGGTCTGTGGTCTATACTTCAGCCTCTCGGTCTGGACCATAGACCGTATATATGGTCTGGTCTGGAACATACCGCACCGTTTCCCAGCCCTACTGCTTACTGACCCTGCATCTGTGTAACCGAGCACCTGTTTCACTATTTTCCTTCCCCTTTTAATTAATAAAAAAATTGATATCACAATTATAAAAAAATAAAAATATATAATTTGAGCATTCCGTCAAATTAAAGCTTCTTCTGTCCCGTCCCGTCCCGTCCCGTCCAATCCGATTAGCATTTAAATAATCAATTAATATCATTTGGACTAATAATATATTGACACGTAGACGGGAGCATCGGTAGGCTGCAAACCGTACAACAGCCAAATTCCGCCCATGTTTAATTATTGTTAGATGATATTTAATATATTCGAAACTCGTACATGTCGATTCAATACCAAACGATAAAATTGCTGGACCAAGTTTTTGTCCGCCTATGAATTGTATGCTTCTTTAGTTGGAACTCTGTCGACCAATTAGAAGTCGCTGTTTGTGTGTTCCCATCTATGCCTATGCGTGTGGAGTGGAGTGTTAGCCCATCCCGACTCTACATATATATGGTACATGGTGTTTCCTGGCGGATTGTTATGGCCACTAGTTTTTGGAGCCTAACCTAACCACATACATTTCTTTCAGGCTGCTCAACTTGGTTCTAGTCGATTTTTGGATCTAAGTTGGACATTAACAATGTTAAGATAAACATTTAGTTGGTTTAGGAGATCTAACAGTAATATGTGGTATGAAATCGAGTTAGGTTAGTCTTTATGGTCAAGTTCATACATTAGTCTCTCTCAATAACTTGGGTAGGAACGATAACGGGGAAAGTCAGGACGGGTATCTTGATATCCATATTCGTCCCGTGGCAGGTCGGGTATTTAGTTATGGAGCATCCGCTCGGAGCAGGTCGACCCATTTGGGCATGTGTTGTAACGGAAAAAATACTTGATAAATTGATTTTTTTCATTAAAATTTTAACAAATAAACTATAACGTGATTAGTGTAGTTGAATTAATTAAAAAATTGAGGTTCTCATCTATTTATAATTTTATTATAGCTAAAATATTATGTAATAAAAGTAAAATTTTAAGTAATTTCCATAAAATTTTAAGCTAACATATTTACGTATAATTTATTACACAATAACGGGTCAAGAATGGGATAGGTCAGGAAGAATCGGGACGAGAACATTGCCCATGCCCAAACCGTCTCAAAGTAGGTCAAACAGATAGATCGACATTGCCATTCCTAAACTTGGGTTATTGACTATTGCGGCAAGTTGGTTTACGAAATAAACACATAATATCATAGCAAGTTTGATTACAACATCTCAAGTTGAACTTCTCAATTCTCACGGACTCTAATATTAACATTTCATTGAAGTACACAATATGAAAATCTATACAAACTTTAAATTCATGAATTAATTATTTTAAAATTTAATCAAGAGACGTGTAAAAAAGCTGTAGAAGATCCATAAATCTTCTTCTCTCGAACGTAATTATTAGCTCAAATAGGTGGAGAAACGATCTAAACCCACCTAGTAAGATGTCGTTGTGATCTAGATTAGCTAGCTAGGGTGGTAATCAACTAATGGTGGCCTCTAGTTTCCAATTAATATCCATAATCCATATACACGAAACAAGAAAATTTTGCACACAATAAAAAACACTAAAATTAAATGGGTGGAGAGTCTAACAAGACTTTGTTGATAACAATACGAGAGAAAAAAAAATGACCCCACTATTCTGAGGTTACATATGAATACAAACAAAAAATTACAATAATCTTAAAATCTCCCTTTATTATAATAACCTCACACTCCTTTTTTGTATTGAGAGGTTTTTTTATGATATTATCATTATATAATTTTGTTTCACACATACATATACCATCCTCCTCCTCCCACCGTTTTGTATAAATTACACCTGCCCAAGTTTTTCTTCATATATACCCACATCAGATGGCTTCTCGCGGCAGTCTGACCGTCTCCACCGCCTCTGGCAAGGCGGCGGCAGGCGGCGGCGGAGGAGGGCAGTGCTTGTGCTCCCCCACGACGCACCAGGGGTCCTTCAGGTGCAGGTTTCACCGCGCTGCATCGTCATCGTCGGCTTGGAGCAAGATGATGATGAAGAGATCCTATTCCATGCCTGCTAATACTAGTAATAATAACAATGATAATTCTGCTTCTACTACTACTACTTCTGCATCCATGGCTTCTTTTTCTCCCAAGACTGTTGAATCCAACTGATCTTCTTCTCTTGTTTTTGGTTTTTGGGTTGAGTTTTAAGATGTTGTGTTCAATGATATAAATATAATGTAAATTCAAGCACTCTTATCCCAAATGAATGTTGGTAATCTATCTCAGCTCTTTTCTTCCCTTCAACTTGTTTTTGCTCATTTCAACGTTTTGAGGACTTGCCAAGAAAATATAGTACGGTTTTTAAGAGGTGGCAAATGGATTGAATTGGCGGATTGGTGAATCTAATGGATTGGTAGATTCACGGATTAAATAAAATGGGGTGGTGGATTGATTCATGTATCCAAATTATCCAATCCTTGAACCAAAAGGTAAATTTTGAAAAGTTCAGATACTAAAATGTCATAAGGCAAAATTTTAAGTTCCAAAATGTATTTTTTAATGAAGTTTTTCGTCTAAAAGTAAATTTTAGGTACAAAAATATAAAATATAAAAATATAGGTACTAAACTGTAATTTGTCAGCAATTCATGAATTCACTAATCCACTCAGATTTAGATAAAATGGATTGGATTTAAATGAATTTAATTATTGGATTTGGATATTAATTAGCGGCGGATCTAGAACACTGTAGAGCACTGTACCGCATTTCATTAGAAAATTAGATATCGTAAAAAAACTAATGATAATATTTTTCTTACAATGTCAATTGTACACGATGGTCATTTAATATGGCGAATGCATAAATAATGGAGTCTACATCCATACCAGTAACATACTCTGTTTCAAATAAACTAATTAAGCAAACGACAAGAAATTCATCGCTCATTTTGTTGGGCAAATAAGCTTTCACATTTTCATTGTTGAAAATCTCCGTTGAAGCCATTGAAACGGTCAGCGTCACCACTTGACAAATCAATCGACTAATCAATTTGCATTGTGTGTCCATCCCTATATCCACCAACTGTTTTAGTAATTTTCAAGAGAACAAAACTCATATTTCTTTTAGTCATTTACATTTTAGACTTTAAGGTTTTATTATTTTTTCTTAGAAGAAAATCTTTGGGGCTAGAATTTCTAGGCTAAATTTGAGTATAGAGTAGCAATTCGAATATGTTCATCTGAACCATTTTTCTAAATATACACAATCTTATTATAAAATAATATTGGGCAGAATGCTTAACATCAAAAAATTCGCAAGGGCTACTAACTAGTATCCAGGGGAGGACTGGGCCGTGGCCCGGGGTGGCCACCCCCTGGATCAACCACTGATACTAATTGCCACATTTACTGCTTTAGTGTGTGATGTTCTCGTTGGTTACTTGATTAAGTACGACCGGTAAAATATATTACTGTTCACGCCATGGTTATTTTGTGCCTAATTCAAGAATCCAATCCATCCACTAAAATATCTGATTAATCCAATACATTTAATTCAAATTTAATTGGATTAGGGGATTCATGTATATTTGAAAATTTATGAATTAGCACCCGTACAAATTATATTTTATATTTCGATACATAAAATTAAATTTTTAAATAAAATTATCATTGAGAATTTACATTTTTGTACCTAATGACGTTTTAGTACCTTAAAATTTTGAAATTTACATATTGATCCAGTATTTAGATATCGCTTTTCATAATCCAATCCACCATTCAAATAGATCCAATCCATGAATCCAACCGTCCATGAACCCAATCCATTTGATTCACGAACATGTTGGACTTGTGAGGTAAATCTTGATCAGTTAGGGAAAAGAGATCCAACTATCTTTATCCTTTTATTCAACTTTTCTTAACACTTGCCTGAAATTAAGTTTGTAAAACATGTATCATTAAGAGTTGTGTTCTTTCTACAAAGAAAAAAAATTTCACTATAAAATTTTCTTATTCTCTGTCTAAAAGAAACATTACATGATCAAATACTAAAATTGCCTAAAGCGAATCAGGGCTATAGCCAAAATCAACAGAGTGAGGAATCCCATATGAAGATGAGGGATGATCAAGTACAGCTTCAATTCCACCATCTAGTTGTCCGATCATCGGATAATTAGGCGTAGTTGTCATCATCGTTGGTGTCATATTCGTTCGTTGATTAACCATCTGAACTAGCGTTGATGGTAAGGGTGCACAAAAAATGAGAGGAAGAAGTGGAGACACAACCATTCATATCATTTCGAGGGCTCACCAATTTCATCCTTCTCTTCTCCACCTTCATCAGCAGTTCTGAGTAGGCAGATTCAAGATCCGATAGCTCACCCACCTCCACCTTCTCAACAGTTTTGTTCCACCAGTTGTTTAGTTGCTTTCCCTTGAGCTTTTGCCTCAGCGCCACATCTTTCTTTTCTTCCTCTTCCACCAATTCGAGCAGCATATTGTATGTCTGGTTTAGCTCTTGGATCCTTGCCTGCCTAAACATCTCCCCATTGTCAGGTGATAATTGGGGCTGCTTTTTTTGTCGGCCGAGATATCGAAGTGCAAGATCCTTGAAAGAAGGCTGACTGAAAGTGAAGGATTTTCCTGCAGGAGAAAAGACCAAAAATCCAACCTCACTGCCCGTTAGGGTGATTAGCTCATTTACTTTCTTATAAATTCCATACTTGCGTTTTGAAAAGGTGGTTATCATGTCTGATTCTTTTTCAATTTTTTTCATCTCGATTTTTTGCTTCCCTCTTGTTTTCTTGGCAACGATGTTGTTATTGTTGGTCGCCATATGAAAAAAGGTTGGAAAGCAAAAGGAACTTGGATGGGAATCGAAGCTTTGGATAGTATATGTAGTTATTGATGGTTTTGTTGGAAGTGTTCTATATGCATTTATAATGGGATGGAAAGTTTAGTGAATTGAGAACGAACATAAATTGGGTATGATAATGAGTTTTTCCAAGATTAAATGAAAATTTTTTTATTATTAAAAATTAATGTAACTACCTTATTGAGTTTTTCTGACACTAAATGTGATACTTTTTATCATGAAAATTTAATGTAATTGCCTTATTAATTTTTCCTAAACTAAATGGAATCATTTTTAAAATGAAAAATTAGTGTAATTGTCTTCTTGAGTTTTTTCCCACTAAATGGAATCAATATTTTCCTGAATAATTAATGTAGTTTCCTATAATATATTCTTCATATATCTTTACCAGAAAAAGGGGGAAATAGAAAAAATAATATTAGCTATAGATTACTTGACAAGTATATGATATATCTTTACTATTATAGATAAACTAGTCACCTATTACGCGCTTTGTTGCGCAATTTTCTTTATTTAACATGTTCTAATATCTAAATTGTTGAGGTGGGCTTTGTCTAAGTTTTGTTTTATTCTTAGTCCGTTTAGTTATAATTCATTTGGTGGGCTACTCCAATAGTCCAAGTATTTCGTCATGTTTTAGTAAGAATTTTGTTCACCTCTTAAGTTTCCGAGATCCCTTCGGCTCCCATATTGATAGTAGCGAAACGACAGGAGTAGTGGAATTTGGAATGTAGAAGAAAAGCAAAGCACGACTTAGAGCTGGAGGTATGAACCAAGTCGGAAAAGGAAGTGAAGACTTCTTGTCACATAAGTATTCCTAGTCCATCTCTGATTAGTTAGCCTTCTTGTATCACATTTGATGTCTTCTCATTCCAGCAATGATGTGCAACCCAATAGATCATTGGTTCCAACGACGGATCCAGGACATAGTAGAGCACTGTGCCGCATTTGAATAGAAAATTAGAAATTGTTAAAAAAAATGATAGCTATAATTTTCATTACAATGTCAATTGTACATGACGATCTTTTAATTTAGCGAATTCATAAAATAATTGAATCTTCATCCATAACAATAACATACTCTTTCTCAAAGAAAATAGTTAACCAATCCGCGGAAAATTCATCGCTCATTTTGTTGCTTAAATAAGTTTCACATGTTCATTGCTGAATATATTCTCTCCGTAGTAGCCGTTGAAACAAGCTAGGTTAACACTAGACGAATCAAGGACAAATCAATGTGTAGTGTGTATCCATCCTTGTTTCCACCAGCTTCTCTAGTAATTTTGCAAGAGAAGAAACTTCATATTCCTGGCTATGAACCACATGAGCTATATAATATCGTAGATCATTCCTCAAAGAATGCATCTAATAGCCTTCAAAATCTCGAGGATAAACTCTTGAGCAAGTTTGTAAATATTTTATTCATAAAAAAAATCAGAAATAACTTTTAGGATCTAGTGAACCCCTCAACTGAAGTCATTTAAATGATGACTCAACAAGTTTGTTGATATTTTCTTCATCAAAAGACTGGAAAGAAAATCAGCTCCTGACGAACTAGCGAAGTAATCCGTTTCGGGTTCGTTCGTCTCATCGTTCTATTTTTTTTATTGGAGGAATTTTTTGGGTTTTGACAGAGAAGTTTGAGGTTTAGTTTAGAGGTTTTTATTTCAATGAAACTTTATACTTTTAGTCTTTTACGAGTAAGACTTTTTTTTTCCGTTGAATTACGAGTAAGACTTTTAAGTTTCATTGTTCATTTTATTCTTTTCAAATGAAAATTATTTGGGCTAAAATTTTTAGTCTAAATTGAGAGTAGTGGTTTGGATATGTTCATCTATACTATTTTTTAAGTTACACAAAATCTTATTATCAAATAATATTGGACCGAATTTAAATAGCACTAGGCCGAACACCTAATATCAAAAAATTCATACATACTATACTAACTCAGGACCGCAAGAGGGCTGGGCCCGGGCCCGGGATGGCCCAGCCCTAGATCCGCCACTGATTGGTTCAGACATGGAGTGGTGCCTCTTAGCACATCAATGCCACCCAAGTCATTAAGGAGTGAAGAAACTTGGTCATCCTCTTTCGGGAACATATTGTATTAAATGAATCTCATGCACATATTATCACAATGAGATCCAACCGATGCTTCTTTCATGCATGTTATTTGATCCATCTTTGCATCGATTCCGTTTATCGTTATTCAGTTCAATCTCAAATGAATCACATCATTTGATTTGAGTTTGACCAACCATTTTATAGGTAGTATCCATCAAATCTACCAGTGATATCTTACTCATTTTATTATCAGGAACATTATTTTTTGTTGCCTTGTCATATCCCTTGTTTACCTAGAGCTCGTACCCAATGAATACTGTCACGGCCTTACTTTCACTCATGCGGCCTTAGCTCTCAATTTCGTTAGAGAACTAAGCAGCCTTCTCTCAAACTCAATTGCAAGCATAGAACGCAAGAAGAAAGACAAAGACGATGGGAGAATTCTCTAAGTGTATTACTCTAAAAAATGATGGAATGAGTAACAACTAACAAGTGAGGGAGATGACTCCTTATATAGGCCTCTCCACATACAAGGCATCAATGCCCCTCATAATGTCCCTCTCTACATCAATACACCCATAAAGTCCCCCCCCCCCCCCCACACTGCACTCCTTAATACCACTCATAGTGTGGCCCATAAGTGCACCATAATGCTCATAAAGGTTGGGAGAATCCTAGATGCATCTCTATGCTTCTAGTCTTCCATACACGCCACATGTGCACACCATGTTTTCACCTAGTTGGCTCCATGTCATCTTCCACATGTGACATCCTCCCCCACCTATGCTCGTGACGGCCTCGTCGCGTCATCTTCTTGGAAAGTCTCGATCAAGTATGAGAATTTTAGTACTACGAAACAAGCTGAGGATCTATTAAGCTAAGACGACATGGTGACACGAGGGAGCCATTGGTTTAAGAATTTGCTAGGACGCGATTTAGTTAACAATTTTTTGTACGTAAAATAAGAGATTGAGGCGGATGGTGATCATCAGTATGAAAGGAAGGAAGCAAGAAATGTGGCCAACTCTCAAGATACGAGAAATTGTAACCACAAACTCTGGCATTCCCCTTTCAACGGTCCCAATGACCTCCTGACCTAGAAAGGGGATATTAGAGACCCTACAAACTATCCAGATCATGCGTGAGTTGAATACTAATTTAACATGTGGCTGTCCTATCATAAAAGGGGGGAGCACCTAGCCACCTAGGGTGACATAAGGAGGAACCTTTATTCGTAAGTTGGGACTAGTAGGCTAAGAGCTATAGTCTCGGAACTAGCTATAGGAGTAAGTCATTCAACCAACTAAGTATAGACAAACAAGTAGAATGTTCATTGGAAGTTTTAATAAATTTTAGAGAATTCGAGGAGGATTCTCAATGATCGTGATAAAGAAAAGTTGCGTAAAATACAAGGAAAATGCTAGAAGGCCAGAGGAAGTTTGACTAGATTTCAAGAAGTCAATTGGTAAGCAATCTTGAAGTGGTACTGGACTTCGGTAAGTCGTCTCTAAGGCCCTAACTATGAAGTGGCATTAGTCATTTCGTAGAGAGTTTGAAATCAAGGAAGGAAATGAAAGTTCCTGATAAAGGATTGGGAATATGTGTAAGTGACTCAAGTTCAAAGAGAGTGCATGGAGGAAAATAGTTAGGAAGGTTCGAAGCAGAAATGCAGAAGACAGCAAGGAAGTATTAGGTTGATTACGAGTGGAAAACAATTGATCCATAGGAAGTCCATCGAGAAATTTTGATCAATATCAAAGTGGAATCATGGTCGTCAAGAATATAGTCAAAGGGAGAAACTTATGGGTCAAAGTACATAAGTGAGAAAAGAATGTGGGAACCTAGATGACTACATTGAGAACAAGGGACATCTAGAACTAGCGAGGAACATCGAGAAGAAGAGTCACGAGTAACGAAGTAAGAGGGATATGAGTTTAGGGAACCTGCTAGGATACCCCAAAGTGAAACCAAGATCACCTATGCGGGTGAAAGGGGGCAATCTCTCGGGTGACAATTTCTTGGACGGGAAACCGTAGAGAAATTTCAGCTAGGGTCTAAGAGTGGCAGAATGGATAGTCCGATAACATCAATTCAAGCAGCGATAAGGAAGTGCTAAGTTAGGTGCCATGAGTGAACATGTAAGCCAGAGGGAATGTCATTATTCTTGAAAGGAATCATAAAGTTGATAGAAAGTTAGAAGAAAAATGCAAAGGATGTCTCTAATGCATATAGAAAGTAAAAGTAGTAGTTTGAGATTTCGACGCTAAGCAACAAAAAAATGAGGAGTTAACGTCTTAGTTGATGACTAAAGGATAAGACGAAGTATTAAGGAAGAAAGTAAGAGGACCTAGTTGACCTACGCGGTCAACCACATACGTTCAGAGTGCATAGGAGATGTAAGGGGTTAAGAAGCCACCACAACATTGAGGTTGCCAATGAATGGAGAGAAGAATTTATAGGTAATGTTCTACAAGTTAAGGAAGTACAAATCGTGATAGTAAAGGATTACTACAAGCGAGGCTTGGACAAATTTCGAGGGAAATTTTATAAGTGGAGAGAAAATATGATAGCTCAATTTTGATTTAGGTCAACAACAGCTACTAAAGGAGTTGGATCAACGAATCAAACCGAATTGGAATTTTGTTACATTACACAACCGGGCCAAGTTACGGAAAAAGGGACAATGAGTCACTTAAATTTGTACGGTGCTACAAAGCTATGTGAGGCTACCTGTTATGGTTAAGAGAAAATATAAGAAGTATAGTCAACTATACGAAAAAAGGTAGGGCACGCCATTGAAGTTTAAATAGCAAGAATAAAATTCTTGACGCAAGGACGTACAAGGATGGTGATGACATAGGAATGAGTTCTAAGAAAATTTCGGGGACGAAAATTTTTCAACGGGGGGAGAAATGTTACACCCGCCCTTTCCTTAAGTCAAAATTTCCATTTTGCCCTTGGTCAACACTTGTTAAATTCCACTGTAATATCGATGAGGACTAAAATGACTCTCGGTTCTAGCGGTGTCGAATTTCGACATAAAACGAGAAAATTACTGACATTAATTGAGTTTTGGATTAAACTCACTCACAATCGTGAAATGCCCAAAATAACCCCGGGTAACTAAAATCCTAAGCTAACCCTAAGCTTCTCGCTCCACTCGACTTATTATATTAAAACCTAAACCTAAGCCATCATCAACCCCACTGCCCCATCTCTATCTCTACTTCTCACGGAATCCCTCTCATAGTCACGCTAGGATTTGGAATTGGCAAACAGGAAGAACGGCTGGAAGAGGGCATGCGGTGCTGGACGTTTACATCGATCCAAGATAGAGGAAGTTTTTGAGACCCGGTTTTCTTCCATATACATATATATCAATGTCACATTTATCCTTGACAAGGCTTTCCTGGGAGCGAGCAGATGGAGTGTGCGGTAGCACCAATAGTCGACGGTGATGGCAGTTGCCGACGATCGGCGATCAACCGGGGAGCAATGATACGGAGGAATGCGACGTGATAATTTAAAGGTTATGGTGAAGGCCAACCAGGTGGCTTAGGGCAGTGCTCAAATGGATTGGCTCGATAGATAAGGTGATTGTAAAGGGGGTAAATTCTACGCCTTACGAATTCTTTTAAGTATTATGATTTTAAGTTTTTTTAGCGAAGTGGTTACCATTGCTTGATTATGTATGGTTGATTATTTGTGCTTTGTTTGAGCTATTATTTGAGGTGAATTTGTGTTATTTACCTTAAAGCTTTACATTAGTTATGAGTGATTGTTAAAGTTAAGAAACAAGTTCATTTTTCAAGAAGTACTTCACCTTCAAGAGGGTGAAACCGTTTTAAGAGTTTTAGTCACTAGCACCAGTACGTTGCCATTTGAGATTTTGAGATAGAGCAGCAGTTATGTTCTTGAGACTTTTAAGATGAGCAGCAGTTATGCTCTTGAGATATTTTAAGATGAGCAATAATTATGCTCTTGAGAATCGTGGAAGAAGAGCCTTCCACGATAAGTTTAAGTTGAAGGATAGCCTAGATGACTTCTCATACGTATGAGTTGGCAACCGGACTAGCTAGTGAGGGATCCCAGTGTCAGTCAAATATTTAAGATGAGATTTGACCTTTAAGAAGGGAAAGTAAATTAACTCCCACACAGTTTTAAGAGTTAAGATTTTTAAGAGTGGAAGTACAAACAACTTCCACCAATTTAAGTAATTGTTTTAAGTAAAGTGCTAAGCAGTATGAAGTTTAAATCGTAAGGGCGTAGACTGGCCCCAACTTTTAGAATTTCAGGTTTCATTATTTTTTCTTAGACGAAAATCTTTGGGGCTAGAATTTCTAGGCTAAATTTGAGTATAGAGTAGTAATTCGAATATGTTCATCTGAACCATTTTTCTAAATATGCACAATCTTATTATAAAATAATAGTGGGTAGAATGCTTAACATCGAAAAATTCATAAGGGCTACTAACTAGTATCCAGGGGAGGACTGGGCCGTGGCCCAGGGTGGCCACCCCCTGGATCTGCCACTGATACTAGTTCCCACATTTACTGCTTTAGTGTGTGATGTTCTCGTTGGATACTTGATTAAGTACGACCAGTAAAATATATTACTGTTCACGCCATGGTTATTTTGTGCCTAATTTAAGAATCCAATCCATCCACTAAAATATCTGATTAATCAAATACATTTAATTCAAATTTAATTGGATTAGAGGATTCATGTATATTTGAAAATTTATTAATTAGCACTTGTACAAATTATATTTTATATTTCGATACATAAAATTTTATTTTTAAATGAAAATTATCATTAAGAATTTATATTTTGGTACCTAATGACGTTTTAGTACCTTAAAATTTTGAAATTTACATATTGATCCAGTGTTTAGATATCGCTTTTCATAATCCAATCCACCTTTCAATTTGATCCAATCCATAATCCAACAGTCCATGCACCCAATCCATTTGATTCACGAACATGTTTGACTTGTGAGGTAAATCTTGATCAATTAGGGAAGAGAGATCCAACTATCTTTATCCTTTTATTCAACTTTTCTTAAAACTTGACTGAAATTAAGTTTGTAAAACATGTAGCATTAAGAGTTGTGTTCTTTCTACAAAGAAAAAAAATTTCATTATAAAATTTTCTTATTCTCTGTTTAAAAGAAACATTACATTATCAAATACTAAAATTGCCTAAAGAGAGTCAGGGCTATAGCCAAAATCAAAAGAATGAGGAACCCCATATGAAGTTGAGGGATGATCAAGTACAGCTTCAATTCCACCATCTAGTTCTCTGATCATCGGATAATTAGGTGTAGTTGTCATCATTGTAGGTGCCATATTCGTTCGTTGATCAACCATCTGAACTAGCGATGATGTCTTCGGTCCTATGTTCAATGTTTGATGGTAAGTGTGCACAACAAAATGAGAGGAAGAACTGGAGACACAACCATTCATATCATTTCGAGGGCTCACCAGTTCCATCCTTCTCTTCTCCACCTTCATAAGCAGTTCTGAGTAGGCAGATTCAAGATCCGATAGCTCACCCACCTCCACCTTCTCAACAGTTTTGTTCCACCAGATGTTTAGTTGCTTTCCCTTGAGCTTTTGCCTCAGCGCCGCATCTTTCTTTTCTTCCTCTTCCACCAATTCGAGCAGCATATTGTATGTCTGGTTTAGCTCTTGGATCCTTGCCTGCCTAAACATCTCCCCATTGTCAGGTGATAATTGGGGCTGCTTTATTTGTCGGCCGAGATATCGAAGTGCAAGATCCTTGAAAGAAGGCTGACCGAAAGTGAATGATTTTCCTGCAGGAGAAAAGACCAAAAATCCAACCTCACTGCCCGTTAGGGTGATTAGCTCATTTACTTTCTTATAAATTCCATACTTGCGTTTTGAAAAGGTGGTTACCATGTCTGATTCTTTTTCAATTTTTTTCATCTCGATCTTTTGCTTCCCTCTTGTTTTGTTGGCAACGATGTTGTTATTGTTGGTCGCCATATGAAAAAAGGTTGGAAAGCAAAAGGAACTTGGATGGGAATTGAAGCTTTGGATAGTATATGTAGTTATTGATGGTTTTGTTGGAAGTGTTCTATACGCATTTATAGTGGGATGGAAAGTGTAGTGAATTGAGAACGAATATAAATTGGGTATGATAATGAGTTTTTCCAAGACTAAATGGAAATTTTTTTATTATTAAAAATTAATGTAACTACCTTATTGAGTTTTTCTGACACTAATGTGATACTTTTTATCATGAAAATTTAGTGTAATTGCCTTATTGATTTTTCCTAAACTAAATGGAATAATTTTTAAAATGAAAAATTAGTGTAATTGTCTTCTTGAGTTTTTTCCCACTAAATGGAATCAATATTTTCCAAAATAATTAATGTAGTTGCCTATAATATATTCTTCAGATATCTTTACCAAAAAAAAAGGAGGAAATAGAAAAAATAATATTAGCTATAGATTACTTGACAAATATATGATATATCTTTATTATTATAGATAAACTAGTCACTTATTAAGCGCTTTGTTGCGCAATTTTCTTTATTTAACATGTTCTAATATATAAATTGTTGATGTGGGCTTTGTCTAAGTTTTGTTTTATTCTTAGTCCGTTTAGTTATTCATTTGGTGGGCTACTCCAATAGTCCAAGTATTTCGTCATGTTTTAGTAAGAATTTTGTTCACCTCTTAAGTTTATGAGATCCCTTCGACTATCATATTGATAGTAGCAAAACGACAGGAGTAGAGGATTTTGTAATGTAGAAGAAAAGCAAAGCACGACTTAGAGCTGGAGGTATGAACCAAGTCGAAGAAGGAAGTGAAGACTTCCACTTATGGAAAAATCAGCAGTCTAGCTTTTATGGAAATATTATGAATTAGTTATCTGGGAAATCCTTGTTACATAAGGATTCCTAGTCCATCTCTGATTAGTTAGCCTTCTTGTATCACCTTTGATGTCTTCTCATTCATGCCATGATGTGCAACCCAATAGATCATTGGTTCAGCCATGGAGTGGTGCCTCTTAGCACATCAATGCCACCCAAGTCAATAAGGAGGGAAGAAACTTGGTCATCCTCTTTCGGGAACATATTGTATTACATGAATCTCTGCACATATTATCACAATGAGATCCAACCGATGGTTCTTTCATGCATGTTATTAGATCCATCTTTGCATCGATTCCGTGTATCGTTATTTAGTTCAATCTCAAATGAATCACATTATTTGATTTGAGGTTGACCAACCACTTTATAGGTACTATCCATCGAATCTACCGGTGATATCTTACTCATTTTATTATCAGGAACATTATTTTTTTGTTGCCTTGTCATATGCCTTGTTCATCTAGAGCTCGTACCTAATGAATACTGTCACGTCCTTACTCTCAATCGTGCGGCCTTAGCTCTCAATTCCGTTAGAGATCTAAGCAACCTTCTCTCAAACTCAATTGCAAGCAAAGAAAGCAAGAAGAAAGACAAAGACGATGGGAGAACTCTCTAAGTCTATTACTCTTAAAAAGGATGGAATGAGTAACAAGTGAGGGAGATGACTCTTTATATAGGCCTCTCCACTTACAAGACATCAATGCCCCTCATAATGTCCCTCTCTACATCAATACACCCATAAAGTCCCCCCATAATGCACTCCTTAATACCACTCATAGTTTGAACTCCAAGTGTCGCCTCTTCTTGTCCGCCCATTTCTTCGTCTTCTTACTAGCACAGGCTAAGTAAGACTTGGCCATCTCCATCTTCTCGTGCTAGTCTTTTGCAAACTTGTAGGCTGCTGGACTGTTGCCACTATACTCTATTGCCACCGTCGTAGGTATCAACGGCTGCTGCCCCATCGCCAACTTGAATGGACTTGTGTTGGTCAACTCTCTTCGGTGCAGGTTGTAGGAGAATTGTGTCGTATCCATCAACTTCAGTGAATCTTGTTGGTTAGCACTCACATAGTGCCTCAAGTACAGCTCTAGCAAGGCGTTCATCGGCTTCGTCAGTTCGTCGCTTTGCGGATGAAATGATGTCGAGAAGTTCAAGTCCGAGCCCACGATCTTGAACAACTCTCGCCAAAATCGTCCCATGAAGAGCCCATCTCTATCGCGCAAGATGTTGCTAGGAATGCTCCAATGCTTGACCACGTTCTTGCAGAATAGCCATGCCGCATCCTCTGTCGTCATGTCTTTTGGCCCAAGGATGAACACTTCATACTTCGAGAACCTGTCCACCACAACCATGATGCAACCACATTAATCGAATTTGGGAAGTCCAACGATGACGTCCATACTTACTCTCTCCCATGGTCATTGAGGCGTGGGCAAGGGCTCTAGCAAGCCTGGCGGGCTTCTTTGCTCCATCTTGTCTTGTTGGCACACAAGACACGTCTTCACATACATATCCACGTCGTCTCTCATATGCGGCCAGAAGTAAGCTTCTTCGATGAGCGCTTGAGTTCTCTCGATGTCAAGATGGCCAACCCACTTGGAATCGTGACACCTTCATGATATCTTTCCTCAAGTTGGCCCATCTTGGCGCGAACACGCGCTCTCCTTTGGTCCTGCTGAGCCCATCCTCCATCCAAAATCATCGAGTCTTCAATGTAATCCACCACGGTTTTGGCGAAGGGGTCATGACCAAGGCCTTCAACCATCCTCTCCTTCAAAGGAAACACGGGTTGGCTGATGCTTGCGCCTGCACTCTTGCAGCTAAGAGCATCTACAACAGAGTTCACCGTTCCTGGATTGTACTCCATCACGAGTCGAACTCGGCCAGAAAATCTTCCCACCTCGCTTGCTTTGGGGTGAGCTTCTTATGTGTAGGTAAGTAGCTCATTCCCACGTTGTCTGTCTTCACTATGAACTTTGACCCCAACAAGTAGTGCCTTCATGTGTGCAAGCAATGCACCACGGTCGTCATCTCCTTCTTTTGGACCGTGTATCGTCTCTCCGTCTCATTGAGCTTCCAACTCTCGAAGGCAATGAGATGCCCATCCTGCATCAAAACACCACCAATTTTAAAGTCGGATGCATCAGTCTGCACTTCGTAGGGCAACATTGGGTCGGGGAGCACGAGCACGAGCTCCTTCACCATCGCTGCCTTCAAGGCCTCGAATGCTTCTTGGCACCTTTCCGACCAGTCCCAAGCCTTGTTCTTCTTCAAAAGATCCATCAAGGGTGTTGCAATGTTGGAGTAGCCCTTGATGAACCTTCAATAGTAATATGCAAGGCCGAGGAATGACCGCAACTCTGGCACCTTCATAGGCGGCTCCCATTCTTGGATTGCCTCCACCTTCGCCCCACCCATTTTCAACTTGCCTCAACCTATGACGTGCCCCAAGAAAGGAACCTTCGTGGTGTCAAAAGTGCACTTCTCCCTCTTGACATACAACTCATTGTCGCGAAGGACTTGGAAGACTTGGCGTAGGTGCTTGGCATGCTCATAGCGTGTTTTGCTATACAATTACGATGTCATCCAAGTACACTACGACAAATCGATCCAAGAATGGCTCAAAAACTTGATTCATCAAAGTGAAAAATGTGGCTGGTGCGTTGGTATGAACGAATGGCATTACAAGAAACTCATAAGAACCATACCTCATCACATAAGATGTCTTGGGATCATCACTCTCTGCTATCCGCACTTGATAGTAGCCTGAGCGAATATCCAGCTTGGTGAACCATCTCGCATCTCCAAGCTAGTCGAACAAGTCGACAGTGTTGGGTGTCAGCCACTTGTTCTTTACTGTCAACTTGCTGATGGCTCTATAGTCGATGCATGACTCGCCAATAACGTCACACTAGAAAGTGGCCAACTGCAACCACAGACTAATGCGTAGTATAGCGAGTTTAGCTTTATTTATCAACCCAGGTCCTAAATGTGATGACTACTCCATGAAGTTTTCATTATCTAGCAGGTTGAATGTAGTGAAGTTGTATCTAACCTAAGCAAACACAAAGAAGTAAAGTTGTGATTCAAGTTCGAGAGAGGTCACCCGGATATGGTTCCCCCTAGATTGCAGTTAGACCGAATTGTGATTCACCAAGTTCATATATAATGATTGTTATACCGCGGAAGGTTCTTATTCAATCTGAAGTCTCGACTAAAGGTCTTCAGACCCTCCTTGTGTGAATACCCGGCGGGCGACTAACCTCCACAGGAATAAACGAACTGAGGCCCTAACGTGCAAAAGCTCCTCTACTGGATCAAATCCCGTGCAGAGTGGTGAACTGAATTCTCGACTAGTGTAGTCAATTCAACACCTTCAATCAAGGGTGCTCTATCAACCTATGCAGATATTCTCTTTATAAGTCAAAGCAGAAACTGCAAGAATGTGATCAAGACTCATGTAATTCTAAAATCATGCCTCAATCGAATATAATCAATATCAAAATATAATGTATCTGGGTTCATACAACCAACCCTAACATACAAATCTAGTGTTCTTCATACCTAGGTGAGAGAGGGAGTTTACTCCATAGGGAGAGGGGAAAACATAAATAAGAGGAATCATACTCATAATGATGTCTATGATAAGCTCTGGGATGTAAATCTTCACTCCAAGACTGAAATCCAAGCTTGAATGGTGAAACCCAGCTCCAAGATCGATCCTAGGGCTTGCTCTTTGTCCTTTCTCTCTCTGAAACTCGGTTTTTGATACAAAAAACTAGAATCCCCTTCTTTTGGCTCAAATATGCCTATTTACCCCGATATTGGGCGAAGCACGGGCGTGCTTTCTTCTCTGATCGTGCTTTGACCAAACACCACGTTTCACTTAAGTTGGGACAGGGAAAAACACCGGTAGTATTCAGTAAAATGCTGACGGTGTTTAGTAAAGCACAGTCGTGCTTCTGGCAAGGGACGACGATATTTTGTCTCTGGAATCGCCAAGTGATCTCCAAACGATCCGAAACTTGCGCCCATACCTTACTCTACCTGCTAGGACCTGAAATGTGACAAAATAGCACAATCTAGCTTAAAATTGGTCACAGAACC